TTGTTTTGTATGTCTTCCAATGGCCTTGAATATTCCGGAACACGAAATTTATTTTGTTCACGAGAAACGCATGTTGCATTCATTGCGTTTTAGTATTGCACAAAGGTTTACAATTTTGTATGGAGGTTTGAGTGGATTGTGTGACCACTTGCAATCCAGTCAATTGCTTGCTTTTCCAAGGTTACAAACAGAGTTTCCAACTGATAATATGTCTATTTGACAACAGAAGTGATAGGAAAATGTCGCAGTCCATTCAATGATGAATTGATCGCCTCAACCAAGTTTGTTATCATGTGACCATATCGTCTACCCCCATCAAATAAACAAAGCCATTATTATCTCGAGATTTTAGCAAGGTAGTTATACCTTGTTCATTCATGTGTCTCAATTCTTGAAATAGCTCTTCAACCTCACGTACAGAATGCGAGTGGTCTATCGATTAAAAATGCAACAGTTAATTATAAATAATGAATGAAAAGATATCTTAAACCCAAAAAAATGAAAGACATACTCATTCGAAGCACCATTACGCATTCATATCCATTCCTGAAACTTTGCACATAATTTACAACAGTATGGCATAAACAATACTTGTGATAAATATGGAGAGGTTACAAAGATCGTCCCACACGTTAGGTTAAATATTTTATCCCTACGCCTTTGTAAAAAATAAGACATATCCCACCATCTCTATCACGCAAAACATGTGATAGAACATGTTTGTGCAAGTACTTAAAAAATAATTCCCAAGAATCCATGTTTTCCTTTTCAATTATTATGAAGACGATGAGAATAGTTTTCCTATTGTCGTCTTGTGCAACTGCCAACAACAATATTTGTGTGTATTTTTCGTACAACCAAGTGTCATTGATCTAACCATCATCTTGTGGTGGCAAAATGCATTAACATATTGCAAATATGTCTAAAATAACCACATCAATATTGTATGGATTGTGCGTTCAATGTTGCATTGGTGGTTGATTCATGTCAAAGTTAAAGATATCTACGTAAGAATGCATTGGTATAAAAAACAATGATGCATCCAAGTCATTATGTCTACTTTATGTACTTAATAAGTTGAAGTTGTTACGTAAATTAGTTGTCGGACTATGAATATTATGATCAAAGTTAAAATCTGTCCATCTCTAATTTGGGACATTGGTAGTATCATTATTATCAGAAAAATTTGTATATAACTCAAGAGCCCTCCTGATGAATATTGTATGTGACAATTAAGCATCATGTCCACATCACTGTCATCCTCAACATTGTATATTGAGTATGTTAGTGGTTTCAATGACGTCAATAGTCAATACTTCAACAGTTCAAGTTTTTTCTCGCGACCATGTGGAACATTGTTCTTGAATTTTTTTATTAACTTGTTATTCGTTAATTTCTTCGACAATGTTATCATCACAATATGTGCGGACTGAAAGACGATACAAAGAGATGCATCACACATCATTTTGTCATCATAGTATACCAAAGCAGTAACACTTTCTCTTATTGAGATGTTTTAAAAAAATATCTATAATCATGCAAAGATTAGCCTATTTATTAGAAAAATTGTAATAACTTTAAACTATGTAATAATCGAGGAGTGCCAAATAAACTTATGATTAAAACAGTTGTTGATCAATTCCATTATCATTGCCTTCACTTTAATTTTAAATGGTTCGTTTGTTTACCTTCACTTACTTGGATTAAAGATTCAAATGGAAGTCTCATTTTTCAAAAGAATATATTATTGACGTGATGTGGAAGAGACATGAGTTTGCAAAGATTATTAAGGTGAAATGCCAAGCAACTTGCATTTTGCAGAACGTGAGTTCTTCAGAGATTCCTGATGTGGCTGGAACTGATTTGACATGACAGTTTGACGTGAAATGAAAGGGAACTCGCGTTGTGTAATGCGTGAGTTCACTGCCACATCACGTCGAGGGTTTTGCCTATTTAAATTCCTTTTGTTCCATCGAACCTAATCATCTACGTGATACCTTTTCTTTCTTTACAAATTATTTATCCCTTCTAAAAAAACTTCTAATTTAAAAAAGACATCCTCTTCCGATGACATTGTTTATTTATCCACGCTAAGATAGGCACCATGAGTGCCTCTACAACATCGGATATAAAATATATTGTTCTTCATGGCTAAGATGAATCTGTACAACGCAAGGTTCTTACCTACTTCTCAAAAAACTTTTGAGCTTTTTTTAGGTTTTCATATCGCATTGTGCAAGGCATCCTCTTCTAGTGGCGTCTAAATTTCCTCTTAGGCCTCTCGGGAAACTTTTTTCTCCATCAATTAGGTCTAAGCGGACACCCTTTAAGAGATGTTATTCAACTTTTTCCTTTGCGTTTTATACCTTTATGTTTCCTTTATGTTTCTTTAGTGTGTTGGTGTCCCTTTAATATAGAAGACATCATCTTTTGTGACAACATCTACTTGTCCACCGTGCTAAGATATGCAATACATTTCAACAACTTTAGATAAGTTTTGGAGTTGTTTACGCCACCACAAGTTATTTACGAAAATATGTTTGTATGTAGCCATATCAATTTCAATTGAAATATAAGTTGTAATACTGCGCCCTTAAGATGAAACATTACACAAATTTTTTATTAACTTATGGAAAAATACTCAACGAACATTTCTATCAATCCATTTTAGTTTGTTCTTCATGCACAAACCAAGTTTTGGTATCATTTTGAATGCAAATTTTACCCCGCTTATAATGTCTCGTATGTGCTAATATTAGACTAAACTGAAATATAAGTTCAAATATTACGCACTAATCTTATAAATTACAAAAATTTACAATTTATGACCCGAGAGAACGCCTCAAACATGGATATGAAAAAAAGTGACGGGGACTAGAATTTACAATTTATAGCCTCGTGTTTTGCAACCAGCGAAGGAAATGTATAGTGGATTTTATTCTGATCAAATTCAATTTTCCTCACATCACGTATATCGTGATTTCCTTTTTAACACGTTGGTTATTATTCAATTTAAAGGGTCACACCTTTCCAACGTATCTTGCATCTTAGAAAACACGAGTTGCATCGATTCCTCGCTTCGAAATGAATTTGAGGACTGTTATAAATAGAGACCAATTTTGGAAGGTTTCCTAAACATATTTCAAAGAAAAATGGAAAAAATATGTCTTAATACCGTGGAGTTATTCTCGAGGGAAGTGTTATAAAAAATCATGTGCATGTGACTTTTAATTCTATCGTTGACTTCGTCAACACGTTGTTAAATTGCAAGACTTTTCATGAAGTTGCAGATTACAATTACATTTTTTTTAAATGTATCAATGAAAGATTTCAACATCATGCCATAGAATCAAGCCAAAAAACTTTTCATGAAAGATTCATTGCTGCTAATAATCATGAAGCTTTATATAAAAACGACATGTATAATTATTTTAGTGGAATGAACTCGAAGTTCAGTCTGCATTGTCTGAAGAAAGCAATTGATAAATATAATATCAAAGCCATATATGTTCATGGTCTTATTCTAATTTATACTGGGGTGACTTAAAAAAGATGAATGACTTTGAATCATGAAAGCTCTCGACCTCGTCAATTCTAAGAAAATAAATTTAGAAGTTATTGTTCGAAGATGAATCCATTTTTAGGCTTAATGTCGTGGAGTCGCACAACATTGCCTTCTTAGAACAAATCAAAACTTGTAATTTTCCTAAAAATTGTCAGTGTAATTCATAAGACCAAGTTTGGCAACTAATGAACACATGTACTTGTTATGATTCTTGTTTTTTGAACCATGAAGAATTTTATTTTGTAATATTCTACCTCTGTATTGAATTCCAATTATAATAAGTAGTTTCAATTTATTTTAACGAAAATATTTTTAATTATTTATACAATAAAAGTAAAATGGTTAGAATAAATTCGATAGTTGTCGCGTTATGCAAAATGCAAGGTTCTTTAAAAAAAAAGTGATACTTCAAATTCTCGAGGAGGTTTTAATATATCAGGAGCCTCGTGTTTCGTAAAACGCGAGATCATTAATTGAAATATTAAATTGCATCCCTGAAAAAATATATTCACGTTAGAGGAGACTCGCGTCTTATAGAACGCGAGGAAGTTAGACGCGTTTTGTAGAATGTGAGAGTTTTATGTGCGCAATTTGTAGATATTTTTCTTTAAAAAATTGAATAGGAGATATTGATCCAATAAATTATTTTTTGCGGTTATTAAATTAATAATATCTATTTGTTGCATGTTGTTTTGAAAATTCTTAATAATTATTATATTATTTTTTAATAATTTAAGATAATTAATGGTATATGTCAACATTTTTAGAATTTAATTGAAAAAATTGTATAGTTTAAATATTTATTTTAACTTAAAACATTTTAGATATCTATTTTGATTAAAATTTAGATATTTATTTAGATAAACAATATTTTAAATATTTAAATAAAAATACTTTAAATACTTATTTATTGTATAAATGATATTAAAATAATTATAATCAAGTCATGAACAAATTTAGAGGAAAAATATCATAGTAAAAACCGACCACTCTTCATCATGCCCTGTTACCATCCTTAATTAATGATAGAAAAGAAGGAAACTACACTTAATTAATGATAGAAAAGAAGGAAACTACACTTAATTAATGATAGAAAAGAAGGAAACTACACTTAATTAATGATAGAAAAGAAGGAAACTACACTTAATTAATGAAGAAAAGAAGGAAACTACACTATTCTCAGCTTACACAGCTAAGCATATTTTCTACTTCTAATTCTAAAACAAAGAAATGTGTGAAAACATGGACGAACCCTAGCCAAAGCAATAGACTTTAATGAAAAACCATCTCAAGAGCTAAAGCTGAGTGAGTCAGAATGTTAGCAAATGGGTGGGATAAGCTGGCAGGTGCTTTGATGAAAAATGGGTTAAGCTTGCGTTTGTGACTTGCTAAATGATTCCACTTTGTTTAGTGTGTAGGCAAGTCAGTGTTCCACGTGCTGGAGGGACTCTCTCCCTTTCAGTCCTTCCCCCTTTCAATGCCATTTTTTCAATTTCACTCTCTGACCCTCTGTTTCCCTTCTTTTGTTTGTATTCTTCTTCCACTTTCTCTTTCTTTTGCAGAGAAAAAAAGAGTATCTTTGATATTTTTGTTTTAGGTTTGAAGTAGAAGATATGATGGAAGGAATCAAAGGAGGAGTTGGCGTTTGGGACGACGATATGGGAGATGGAATGCAATGCAGCAATCATCCTTATAGAAATAACCCAGGTGGTATCTGTGCTTTTTGCCTTCAAGAAAAGCTAGGCAAGTTGGTCTCATCCTCTCTTCCTTTACCTATTCGTGCCTCACCTTCTTCTTCTTCCCCTCCTTTTAGATCTGACACCGCTCCGATTTCCACCGTTGGCTGCGCCGGTGTTATTACTTCTACTTCTTCTCTGTCTATTGTTCGTCCCACATTGGCCAGGAACGACAATGGAAACAGTAATAGTAGTCATTATGCTATGATCCCTTTCCTGTTGGCTAAGAAGAAGAAGAAGAAGACGGTGGTTGCGTCATCAGATCATCCTTATCATCACGGTGGTAATATTGCTTTTAAGAGAAGCAAGTCAACTTCAGTTCCCACTAGAGGCCGGTTCTTGGATGGTGACCATGGTGGGGACTTTAGCCCTAGAAAAAGAACCGGTTTTTGGTCATTTCTCTACCTTTCTTCCAAGTCGCATGTTACGAAAAAGCTAGATAAAGTTGCTTCCGTAGTACCTCCGACGGCCGCCGTCTCGACGTTGGCGACAGCCGCAACTGGAGGAGCTTCTTCATCTGGTTCTATCGTGAAGCCGAAGGAGAAAAGCAGAATTTCATCTAGGAAAGGAGGTATTGTTGTAATAGAAGACGACGATATCCCCCATAACGAAACAACTCCCTCAGCTGATTCGTCGTTCGAGCGGAAGGTTTCGAGATCCAGGTCCGTCGGCTGCGGAAGCCGGAGCTTCTCGGGCGATTTCTTCGAGAGGATCTCGACAGGGCTCGGGGACTGCACTCTGAGAAGAGTCGAGTCCCAAAGAGAAGGCAAACCAAAAGCTTCCACCGCCGTCGGCGCACCGTCGGCAATGAAAGAAAGGGTTAAATGCGGTGGCATTTTCAGCGGTTTCATCGTCACTTCATCGTCCTCGTCGTCGTCATCCCACTGGGTATCTTCTTCAGGCGATGATCATAACATCAATGGGAGGAGTAATAAGAGCCGTGGATGGGCCTTTGCTAGTCCCATGAGAGCTTTCACCAAGCCGTCCTCCGATAAGAAAAATAACGCCGCCGTGATTAGAGAATCCGACAACAAAAACACAACCCCAAATCTCTCCGACATTCCATCATTGTTAGCCGTTAGAAGCTAAAAAAGTGAAGAGCTTGCCGACTATTGGTTCCGGTTAAATAGTTATTACATGTTTATGATCTTTTATTAGAGAGACTATTCCTTTACACCCTTGCGTAATTGTTCCTACTGGTTTTTACATATATCTGGAAATAATTTTAGGGTAAAGTATAGTAATGGTCACTGAACATTTCAGAAGCTTGCATTTAGGTCCCCAACATTTAAAACTTGCAATACAGTCCCCCAACATTTATTCCGTTTGCAATATGGTCCTCAACTTAAACCACAGTTAGAAAATTAGGATAAATTATATAAATAGTCATTGAACTTTTCAGTCACTTGAATTTAGGTCCCCCAACTTTTAAAACTTGCAAAACAATCATCAATTTCATTCTAAACCCCAATTTCCAAAGTAATTCAATTTTATTCTAAACCCTAAATTCCAAAATACTTAAATTAAATTCAATTATGTCAAAGTTATTATTATTTAATTTCATCTTATTTCATGTGATACGTATTTTTTATATAAATATAATAGTATAATTCTTATCTGTTGAAGAAATTTTTTAATTAAAAAAAGTAGTTAGGATATAAAAGAGGTTGAAAATAATTCAAATTTTAAATTTATAAAATGTTATTTTGACGTATAAATAAAAGTGTAAACTACTCGGTTGACAACTTAACTATCTAGCCCTTTTTACTTTTGTCATCAATCTTTTAAATTTATCAATCATACCACATAATTATTTAACTGTTTCAACTAAGCCACTAGTCGTTACCAATTGATAAAAATGATGATGTGGCAGTTAAAAGGAATTGACATTATTATACATTCAGTCTTTATTATTTATATAATCAATTTGGTCCTAAATTAAATAAAATTTAATAAATTAATCATTTAATTAGGATCTGACATGTGTTAGCACATGATCATGACACGTGTCATTGGTGACACGTGTTACCACCTAATTATTTATATATGCTATCAATTTGGTCCTAAATTAAATAAAATTTAATAAATTAATCATTTAATCAGGATCTGACATGTGTTAACACATGATCATGATATGTGTTATTGGTGACACATGTCACCTCCTAATTAGAAGAAAATTAAGTTACAAAGAAGTAAAATTTGGGTCTTGGGCAAACTCAAACCTGAGTCACGCAAATGAAAGATATAGGGTGGAGCCACTAAGCTAACACCATCGTTTGTGTTAAGAGATATACAATAATACATATACTAATAGTATGACCAATGCCAGAAAAAAAAGAATATAATGTAAAATGGAAATAATGAGATTTGAACTTCGGCAAAAAATTTGAAAGCAATAAATGATGGGAAAATATTATATTTTTTACAATAAAAAATATTATATTTGATAAATTGTTTGATAGATTTAATATTTTTTAAATATTAGTTGATACAATATTTTAAAAGAATAAATTTAAGATTTATATATTTTTAAACTAAATTTAATAATTATATTTTTCATATTTATAATTCATTATTATATATATAATCTTAAGTTGAGTATTTCTAATATAATTAATAATTTTAATTTCTTATTAAAAATAAAATATTCAAAAAATATAAATGATTCATACATTAATATATGAATATATTTTTTATTTATACATCTAAATATAAATATACATTTATATAAATATATTTTTATTCGTTGTGTCTGTGCCTTGAACTCTTTCTTCAAGCCTATATTACCTTAAATTGAAGTATTTTAGAATTTAATTGAAGTATTTTAGAATTTAGGGTTTAGAATAAAATTGAATTACTTTGGAAATTGGGGTTTAGAATGAAATTGATGACTGTTTTGCAAGTTTTAAAAGTTGGGGGACCGAAATTCAAGTGACTGAAAAGTTCAATGACCGTTTATATAATTTATCCTAATTTTCTAACTGTGGTTTAAGTTGGGGGACCATATTGCAAACGGAATAAATGTTGGGGGACTGTATTGCAAGGTTTAAATGTTGGGGGACCTAAATGCAAGTTTCAGAAATGTTCAGTGACCATTACTATACTTTACCCATAATTTTATTTTGAACTCTTAATCTTTGATTTCGTTTTAATTACTACAAACACAGTAGGATTGGAAATACTATAGAAGAAGAATTGTTCAAGTGGTTTCAAGGGAGAAGATATTTTATGATTTGTTTTTTTTTTGGCCTTCATCACATGGATTCACATGGTTGTTTAGTGTTAAGACATATGCTTGCCCCTTCTACAACTCTGTCGACCGTTTGGGGTTTTTTTTTATATTTAAATTTCACATTAAAAAAGCCACTATATTTAATCAACAGTTACTTTAAACATTCTTGTTTCTCTACACTAAACAGTGAAACGTCATTCGGGTTGAATGGTAAGAGATCTAAGGGGTTGTTTGTTTATTTTATAATGATTCAGAGTCTTTGTATGAATTAGTTTTGAATGTGATATGCTGTTTGATAATGGCTCTGAATAATTCAGTATGTACTTCTGTGTTGAATCATTTTGTATTGTTTTGCTGAATCAGTCAGCATTGAATCATTTAGAGGTGCGAAACAAACGCGCTGAATACTGAACGGTTCAACATTTAGCGCTGAATGACTCTATTAAAAGGCAAACAAACAACCCTTAAGTTTATTCACACAAGTAAGGCTGAGCAAAATTTGATTTTAAATAACTTGATTCGAATTAATTTTAAGTTATAAATTTATAAATTTGATTGAAAATATTTTAGGTTTAAATTAAATTATAAAATATAATTTGAATAAATCGAATAATTTAAAAATTTTAGTAAATATTAAATTGATTTTTAAGCTTGAGTCATGTTTTTTGACTTTGTATAATATATATATTAAGAGAATATGATTATATATTGTATATAGTTATAAAAATTATTTAAATTAGAATTAATTAATTTTATAATATTATAAATATTTATAATTAAATTTTAAAAAAACATGAAAAAAATTAAATCAAATTCGAGGTATAAAATAAGATTCATCAATTCAAATAATTTGTAATTTTTTTACTCAACTCAACGCAATTGAACACTCATCCCTTTACACAAGCATGAGTCTCAAGGTTTAAAAATGACATAAATAAAAATGACATAAATCGATCGCAACAGTAAATCTTATAATTTCTAAGTTATATATAGTAACATTTTAAGTGGAAATATAAAATATAATATATTTAATAATATTTTTGATTATAATAAAAAATATTATGAATTGTATAATTTTATTTATTATAAACTGTAAACATATCATAACGTAAATATTTTCGATTGTACATGAGAAAATTATAAACTATATAATTTTTTGAATTAAATATGTTAACATCTTAAATTAAAATTTATCTTAAATCATTCTTAAATTAAATTGTCACAAATTTAATTTGCCGTAGTAATAAATTGTGATAACTTGTACGACCAACTTATGATATTATGATGAGGGAGATGCAGTGTTGAGTAAGGGACGGTGTAAAAGATGGTGGGGGAGCATTTACATTTTGGGTCACTGCAAGCATAACATTTCTTCATCAGCACCACCCCGCCCCCACTTTTCTTTCAAATCCCAATGCTGTGTTGAAATTAGGGTTAATCGAAATTCCAGTAACCGAGTTCAATATTATATCGTATCATTTAATATATATTAATTTTTAATATTTTTTACCAATATAGATTATATATTAAAATATCATACTAATAAAATAAAATTTTAATAAGAATATACTGTTTTGTTTATATATTACCCTACCATTCGTTAAATCAATCAATCCATCTCCGATCAAGGAAATTTTACTATAAATAAATTATTTTATGAACCTTTTACACTACTTTAATTGTAATTTCTAACCAATTAAATGGATATGCGTCGTATCATATTTTTTTTATAAATTAAAATTTTTAAATCAACATCTTTATCTCATCCTCTCATTCTTGATCTTAAAACATTAAAACCCTATATTTTATTTTACTCTTTTTCTAATTCACCGTTATAATCTATATTTGAATACACTAAATTTCGTCCTTATGTTATATAATATATATTTATATTATAAATTATATTATATATTTATTTACATGTTTCTTTTCAGGGCCCAACAGTGGACTAAACCCAAGTCCCACGTGAAGAAACCCTATGGCAAATTAGGGTTTCAGCCGCCTCTCTCCACCAGCGCAGCAGTCCTTCTCTCGCACGCCTCCCTCACGTCCCCAACAGTCCGAGTCCTCCGGCGCAAGAATCACAACCATCATCAACAACCCACATTAGTATTTTACTCGAATTAGAACACTAAATAGGCTGATTTTTTCACTATAAATAGAGGTAACTAGAACACTCAGGGGGAGGTTTTTTTTTAACTGGACGAACATACGAGATCATCACGACAACCCGCACATACAAACATTACGAGGGTTCATTAGTGAAATACAAGCAAAGTAACTTCAGAGATCGATATTTTGTAAACGTTTCGTATCAAAATAAAGGGTAAAAGTTTCGTACCTTTCTTGTTTACTTTGTATGTATGTATTTCCTTCACTCTGGTTTGATTCTAAACAACAAAAAACGTTTTGGCCGAGGACCAAAGGGGGTTGCTTTCGAAGCTATTTTGCTAGATCTACGCGACCCCGAGGCCCGTTTAAAAAAACTAGTTGGATTTTTGTAACCTACGCAAGAAGACCTTTCAAAAAAACAAAAGCTTTTTCATTTTCGCCGCCGAGGACCGCGGCCAGCGCCGTTCGCGGTGGCCGACGAGGCGGCATACGGTGGCCGGAGTCTGGGAACTACGGCGGTGTTCATGTGTTCATCAAGAACACATGAACCAAGCAGAGAAAAAAGAGAAAGGGGGAAGGACTCGGTTTGGAGAAGAGAGAAATGTGTATTTTGCTAAAAAAATTTTGATTTTTATGCTTAAACATCCGCGTGTTTCTGTCTAAATTAGGGTAAACTACTCTTTCGGTCCCTCCTTCCTTAAAGGCTCGTTATTTTGGTCCCAAATCCGATTTTAAATTCCGATTTACTTTCAAATTGGCCACTTGATTTGCTTTTCATTTCATCTCAATCCTTATTATATATATATACATACTAAAATATATTTATCTTTTTGGTGTTTTATTTATT